CTGTCCTGAATATCTTATATAAATGGACCTGAAGTAATCCCCTAGCAGCCTCCCCCCACCCGCCACATCTCCATAAAGTAGGTCACTGAATAGTAGAAATGAAGATTCAAACGTTGAATCTTTGCCCTATAAAAGCCCTGTCATCCATAAAACCAATCTTGGGCAACTTTTACTGAAAGACAGGATGGCTCTTCTCTGTGTGTGCGTGTCAGGGGGAAGCTGAAGGCAGAAGATGTTAAAACAGCAAGAAAAAAACCCCAGTAAAATAGGCTCGTGGTAAGCAAAAAGGAGAGGTGGATCAGGAGAGTGTGTTAGTCTTTGTAAGCGATCTTTTTCTCTGCCTTAAATATTGTATTCAAAGCAGGAAGAATAAGGCTTTAGGTGATGTATGGTCTGCTCTGTTCAGTATGGGTTCTTACGTTATCTTTATCCCCCTAAAATCAGTATCAGTACAGTAAGAGATGTAACATCTGTCACTTCTGGCTTATTCTCTTTTCATCTTCCCCCTGGAGGTAGTAGTGTGCAGTGAAGCGAGTTGTTACTTCAGGGGGTTGTTTTACTTTATTCTCTGGCTGCACTGCTCTGAATTGCTACTAGATGGGCTGGATGGAGGAGATGGCTGATGCTCCTGGGCTGGAGGTGGTGGTGACCCTTCTGTTCCTACGTGAGTCCTTTCTCCTGCCCACTGTGGGCACAGTTAGATGTCCTACATGGCAAATATGTCAACCAAATCGTTCATCTCTGGGTGAACCTGGAGGTGTGCTGAGCGTGTACCACCGCGGGTACCCGGGGGTAGGCACATCGCGGAGGTGGACACGGACTGTGGGCGTGAGCACAGGGCAGGCTGGTGGCCTCCAGGTCTCCTGTTCCACCTCTGAGGCTAGTCAAGTCGATAGATTGATTTGGTTTTACATTAGTGCTGCCAGAGACAGGCAGAGAAATTCCCAAAGAACTAGTATATACTGGGCTGCGTATCCGCCCTGCAGTATGATAAGAGGGCTTCCCTGTTAAGCTAATCAGCTCTCTATTAAATAATGAATTAATTAAACATCCAGGCTGAT